AACAAAAACATCTTTTTGTCTTGAATGATGGGGCATTATTGGCACTAAAATTTATCTTCTCTGTCGAATAAGCATAACAAATACAAAGAGTTGATCCAGTAGATGCTAGGAGTGAAAACCACGAGTTTACAATGGGAGGTGAATCCTAGAATGCAAAGCAAGTGACAGGTGAAATAAAGGAGCAGATGTGGCAGATGTAGTTTTTTCTGTCGATTCATTTGGTAATGTAGTAGGACGTGGCCAAACGTGGCCCAGGTTACAAGCCATGAAGTTAGGCATGTAAGTAATGCAAGATACATGTCTTGTTTGCAAGAGAAAGAGCATGTTGTAGCAGAGTAGTTACCAGCGATTATGGGGGTCATGAGCAGTTATACAAGAAGTGGAGGTAACTTGCTCTATAATGGGACTCGTGGCAACAAAGAAGTAGTAAGGCTAGCAACATAAAGGTGGAAAATTCGAAGAAAATAAGGTCTTCAACAACATTTACAACCTATGTAGTGTGGAATTAGGAATAGTATGTAGTTAGCAATAGTTTTTGTACTTAGGAGTATTTCTGTCTGTAATTCAGCTTCTGTGGCCAAGTTTTCTTCTGTCGATTGTTATGTACATTGGACTTGTAATTTAATTCTTGTGATTAAGTGGCAAGTTTACTTGTTCTTCAATCAAATTTCTGTTTATTCTCACTTGTTTTTTCGCATTACAACCTCCAAAGAAGTCTTTGAAATTGTCAAGGCATAGGACATTCCAAACCACAATTGCTTGATTTGTTGTTGTTTGTGAAATCTTGGTTATTCTATCGAATCTCCTTTGTCAATTTGACCAAAATCAGATTTTTGCTGATAGTAGAAAACACTTCTTCCATAGCAGCGAGGCATTGTTCATTGGCCTTTCAATTTTTTTATTAATTTTTCCTTCCCTCATTTCTCATTTTGGCACTAAAGTGAGCAAAACTTTCACCAAGTGGTCGACCATCCAAAACTTTTTTGGTTGGCCTTGATAATTCATCTGGTTATCCATCCGGTCGACCACCCAAAAGTTTTAATAATATTAAAAAAAAAATATAGTTAAAGTAGAGAGTTTGTTAGAATGTATGTTTAAAAAGTGACTAGTTAAAGTAGTAAAGGGAAATTATGAATGGCTAGTTTAGCTATTCTTGCTGTAGATGCTCTAAGAAATTAGGAATTAGAGTCTGGTGGTTGAATCATGGTGCTTGATCAGAGCGTAATTAATGGCTCTATAGTCCAGTTGGGCTTAGAGTCGTAGAGGATCGTTCTTATGTGTGCCACTTGGCTTCGATGATCAAGCGATTGTCTGACAAACTCAACCCCATATTTTGATTTTTGTTTATACGCGTAAATTACCCCCCCTCCTTATGTTTAACTAATTTTTCGCTTTGTAATTTAAAGTTTTCTTTTTTTTTTTTTTTTTTTTTTTTTTTTTTTTTTTTTTTTTTTGACTTTAATCTCTTATGTTTCAAATTTTTGTCAGTTTATTCTTAAAGTTAAATTCTAATCAAAACTAGACAGAAAATTAGCATTTAAATTTATGTTAGAAGTGTGAATTATATATAATTAAAAAAAAATTAAAGCCATTTGGCTACCACTGTATCATTTTCTGTCTAATTTTAAGCATAAATTAACTTTAGGAATAAATTGAAATAAACTTGATATATGAAGAATCAAAATGGGAAAAAAAACAAACTTTAAAGGTCAAAGTGAGAAACTGGCCAAACATAAAGGGGACAATGTGTAATTTATCGGAAGTTATGTTGGGTTCTAAGACCATCTCCAACTTTCTACTAATATTTTCATCTAATTTGATTTTAAATTTAGGGGTTGTTTGTGATGTTCTAAATAAGTGCACTTTTTGGACTAAAAAGTTGAGGAAAAAAATATGATTGTTTGGGTTAACTTTTTTACTTTTTATGAAAAAATATGTATTAAAAAATTGTATAAATTAGTGTATAAGAGAAAATTAGAATTGAAAGTTGTGCAACCGTACTTTTTGACTTTTAGTGAATAGTGATAACTTTTTAATTTTTTAAATAATTTTTTGACTTTTTAACTTTTTAGACACATGCCAAACTTGGCCTTAAGCAAAAAAAATTGATTTGATGTGAACTATTTCAATTCTTTCATTAATTTTTATCATTTTTTTTTTTAAAAAAAAAAAAAAAAATTCTCTATTCGTCAAATTTGATGGATAAAAAAAAACCATCTCTTATCTTTTTCAATTTTCGTCAAATTTAAATTTGATAAATTATTCGATAATTTCTCAAATTGATGAAAACCTGAAATCTGAAAACCTAACAACTAAACAGATGAAATCAACAGTTTAGGAATGAAATTTAAGAATAAAAATGAAAATAATTTAGGTAATAAAAGTGAAATTAAGCTTTATCAACTCAGCACATTAACCACCTGAACAACTCCGGCGAAGGATTCACGCCAGCCGTTGGCAAGCGAAAGAGGAACGATGGCCACCGACATAACAACTCGGTCAGCATTACAAAGCGACAATGCCAAAGCCAACATCGTCACCACTTTAACCCTCTCGGAAGTAATGAACTCCAAACAACTCGGCTAGCGCAGCGCTTCTTCACCTTTGGACAAAAACGAGCCGCTCGCGAATCGACGAACATCTCTCGAAGGATTCCCAACTCTGATCGGTTTGAGAGTGCGAGTTTTGCATGCGTCGAGTGAAAATGCGATTTGCGAAGAGGTGCGAGAAGAGAATCGATCGAAGCATGTTCTCTGGTTCGGTGATTGTGAGAGAGTGGTGAGAGATTCTTGGGTATTGATGATGATGGGTTTAGGGTTTTGAGAGGTCCAGAAGGAACTACAACGAACCGATCGATCGAGAGCGAGTGCCCAATTCATGGCGTGTGTGGAATAGAATAGCCACGGATGGTACAGAGTGACTTGTATTGTCGCATATCATTTTACAAAGGAAAACTACTAGGTACTATTTTGAAGATTTGAATATTTTATATATATATATATATATTTAATTTATAAATTATTAAAAAAATTCACAAAAATGAAAAGTTAAAAAAATAATTGCTAAGATATGACGAATCAAAATTAATCGGACTAAGATCCTCTTCATTTCATAGTTTTAATAGTTGATGTCTATTATATTATCTAAGAATTATGAAATAATCATGAAGATTTATTAATAATTTAAATTTAAAAAGAATAATTACAAATATTAGATAATGCAATGGAGGTCTTTCATTACAATTTTAAAATAGGGAGGATCACAATCCAAATTGATCACACTATTTTGACAACATGATTTAGCAACAAACAAATAAGCAGCTTATTTGTTTATTTATTAAAAGTTATTACATCACCTCTATATTTTTTAAGGAAAATGTCTCGTAACTCAAATTTTGTAGCTCAAAAGTGGTTCAAATGGCCAAAACGACATCGTTTTGGCCATTTTTATGTTGTTCTGTACTCAAAACGACGTCGTTTTGGCCATTTGAGCCACTTTTGAGCCACAAAATTTGAGCTACGTAGCATTGTCGATTTTTTATATATCTTTTTATAAAAAGTCAATAAGTCAAAAAATAAATTAAAGAATAAATAATTACAAAAAGATGAATTTTTTTTATAAAATAACTACAATACCCTTTTTTCTCCATCTCAACCTTTATCTTTTTTGAAGACCCTAACCATTTGCAAATACCACCTCTAGCCAACACCTCCCCCTCTTCCTATTGGTTCGTGCAACTGTGAAGAGAAAATTTTAGGTATCCTTTGTTTTAATGAAGGTAAGATGTCTTTAATTGAAAGAAAAAAAAGAATGTAATGAATGTACACTCAATCCTTCTTAAACAATGTCATAATAATTTTAATTGATAAGATCTTGCTAAAATCTGTTGTGGGAATTGAAAAATATTTCTCTTAAATTAATTTTATAGAATAATATTTAAAGCAAAACAGATTCTTTTAAAAAAAGGTTTTCACAATTCAATATAAACTATACATATAAATATAATTTTAGGTATCCTTTGTTTTAATGAAGGTAAGATGTCTTTAATTGAAAGAAAAAAAAGAATGTAATGAATGTACACTCAATCCTTCTTAAACAATGTCATAATAATTTTAATTGATAAGATCTTGCTAAAATCCATGTCAAAGTGTGGTCTATAACGACATCTCTTAAAAATGACATCTTTCTATAAAATCCATGTCAAAGTGTGGTCTATAACGACATCTCTTAAAAATGACATCTTTCTATACGTTATTTTAGGTAATTTTTCTTGTAATGTCAATAAGCTTCATATTATACAATATTTCTTTTTACACATGACTTTTCTTGTAGAGTCTAAATTGGTTGTAAGAGAAGTCACGAGAGTCGACCATGGGACAGAATGTAACATCTTGTCTCACAACGGTTGGAAATGTAGCATCTCATCTTATATCAGGTAGATAGAAAGTGATGCAAACTCACTTTTCTAGTAACACTACCTTTTAAAGCCACGATGGTGTAGTGCAAAGCAATACGATATTGTCGCAATTTGGGATACAAGTGTCAAAATTGGACTCAAACTAGGATCTATCTTTAGCTGTCTAAGCAATACATCCTTTTGAATCCCATGAATAGGAGCGGAAGCATGTGCTAGACAGAAAAAAAAAGTTGCAACATAGTGGTGTCTTATGTACTCAAGATCGTCCCTACAAACATTTGATGTGAGATGAGATCATTACACACAACACTGTGAGCTCCACAGCTTCTTCTGTGACTGGAGACTAGTCGGACCCCTTTTTTTTTTGTGGCAATGTATGACTCCTCCCATCTAGAGCCTTGTTCTTTTCAATATATGTTTTGTTCCAAAGTCAAGTATGGTTTTTGCTGGGGATTGTTGGGCAGGTTGTTGATTCACTCTTTGAATATATATATATATATATATATGATTAGTGTCATCTACCCACCATGAAAAAAAAAAGAAGAAAAAAGTCTCATCTCACAGAGAACAATGAACATGTACATATGGTAACAAGAAGCCTTCATAGATTTTGAACCACTTGCTAACAAAAATAAAACCAAAATGCATAGAATAACAAACACACACAAAGAACAAAATGTGAGGCCACACCTTGGATCAACCAAATACCAGTTATACACCTCTAACACTTGACACTCAAAAAAGGTGCCATAACATTCATACAAGATGCTTCCAACTTGTTTACTCAACATCAAACCCTTTCTCTTGCAGCTCTAGAAGGACTTAATTTCTCATCCTAATCCGCAGCTTCAGAGCTTCTTGCTCGAACTTCTTGTCCTGTAACTCCTTGCTGATCATGCCACCCTTGGCAACAAACTCCTTCATTGCCTCATTGTCGCCAGGGTATGGAAACTTTCGCCGCTCGTTCAGGTGGGCCAACTCTCTCTCCTCCTTGGGCTTTGGCTTCAGTGTCCACAAACCCAATGGTGATGTTTCGTTGTAGAGCCATGCAACGCCGAACAGAGTGTACGTGCATAGCAAAGCTGTGCCCACTTGCTTCCAGAAGTGATGATCTTCCTTTCCTAAACCAATCTTCTTCAACAACTTATCGGATTCGAACGATTTGGCGAATAGTTGCCCTGCAAAAGAGTAATACATATAACTATCTTCATATGTGTTTGTGTGTGCGTAATTGTTTTTCTTAGACATTTTGTCGAACAGTTTATAGGCAATGTTGGTAAACTGCAGTCGCATTTCAAAGACGATGGGAACGAATACACGGTCATTAGATTTTTGAATGGGACTGAATTCTAATTCAGAAAACTAGGTCGTCGAATTCATCCACAATTTTGATGACAAAAAAATAAAATTCTTGTTTCGGGATCGGAGTGGGATGATTTAAGATTCACTAATAATGGAGATGACGATGATGATGAATATTGAAGATCTTACCTGTTTTGGCTTCTTGAAATCGTTTGCGAACCATAATTCAAATCGTCTATCCCATAAGTCTCATAATATATGTCATTTATACAAAAATAAAATAAAAAATTAACTTTATCAAAAAATTATAAATATGAAAATATATTACATTTTATTTTATAAAATAAATGATAAATATAATTAAATTTAAATTATCTATTTTGTAAAACAAAATGCTATTTGTCCTATATTTATAGTTGTCACAATTTGGATCATCAGTGCAAATCCGAATTAAAACTCATGAAAAGAGTATGAAGAGATTGTTGGAACAATCTTCTGTGTAAATAAAATAACTAGAAATAAATTCAAACAAAATAAATAAATAACATACCGGATTTATTTTGTCGAACCAAATAAAATTACAAGACCAAGTCGAGTGTGTGACACTCTGTCCTTAAGACAGATTCGCCCCGCTATGGTACTTACGGTTGAGTGGCGTCTATCTCCCAGGATACAATGATCTTCACAAATTGTAGTAGTACTCCAAACAATTTGTTCGGCGAACCAAACCTGTGATCTAACTCTCTGAAAATTTATTCTAAAAACTAGAATGAAGAATAATGCAGAAATACGGCGAGTAGCACCAGTGTCCACCCACCATTCTTTAGGATTTCCGACAAGATTTGCCTCGGAAACAACTGCAGAAAGATTGATGTCATCGACACCATTGGAAATATTATCCACTTCGGTCATGTGGGCTTGAGCAGGCTTCTTGCTTGTTCTTCTTTTGTTTTTGCCTTTGCTACGGCAATCTTTGGCCCGATGTCCCTCTTTGTCACAGATGTAACATTTGCCATTAAACTTGTACTTTTTATT